CAAACCATGTATGGGGATGCTAAATGTACCCAAGTTGATTGATAGCAGTAATAACTGTGTTTTCACAAAGGGGATGGTTCCCCCTGCCAGGGAACCATAATGGCTCCACAGGAGAGATTCCCCCTTCAACACTGACTGTGTTGATGGGGCATTGAGTGATTTTCTTTGTATCATCTGTGTCCCATTGTGGAGATTTCCCTTAACTTCCTGTCCTGAAACAGGAAAAGAGAGGAAATTCTTCTAAAGTAAGGGAATCTCTAGTTCTTACCAGGGACACCAGAATTAGTGTCCCCATTGGAAGATTTCTTCTCTATTTCTGTTCTGGTGACAATCTAAAATATGGAATTTTCTTTCACTTTCACTTTTGGTGATAATGGTAGAACAAACAGGGCGGGGGGGATCTCCTTAAAGCAATATTAAACCTAAAACTAAAAATGTAATCTGGATATTGATTTCGTTGTTATTGTTCTGGTAGTTTTTGTTCTTTTTTTAGGCCTATGTGTGCCCCTGCTATGTATGTTGACCCCATAGACTTAGCATCAATTTATTGTGCATGCATCCTTTTCTATGTACCCTGAAAATCTTAAATAAATAATTTAAGAAATTAAATACATTGCAGTTTACCAATCTGTAGATGTGGTGGCAGCATTAGTTTTCCTTTTTTAGGTTTCCCCTTCTGTTTTCACCTGGGGATCTGGCCAGTAACATACTTTATTACAGTGCCTCCTGACTGGATGAAGGAGCACAGTGATACCTTTGGAGAGCAGCATTGTCAGTCTAGGGGTGGGGAGTGTTAGCTGTACTAGAAGATTTAAATACGCTAACAAATTGAAGCCAAACTCCAGCTCACACCTTATAATTAGTTACAGCAACAGTTTTTTTCCTGTTGGGATAAAGGTTTTACATGCATAAGTAAAAGCTGATCATTGTAAGCACACCTGTCAGTGGTAAATGGTTTGTCTCAAACCTCTGTCTGCTACATCTGCAGGGCAGCTTGTTCTGTTGAAAAACATTAGACTTACTGGCTATATCACCATGTCAAAGGAAGATTGCCAGGGGAGGGAAAAGAGTTGCATTTATCCAGGCTGTAGAGGACACAGCAGCATAATGGCGGCCTGAGTGGGATCTGGAGTGCTGAGTCCAGATGTGTAGACAGCCAGAGTCACCTGGGTGCAAAGTGGAGAGTGGACTAATCGCTGTGTGTGACTAGACGGTGAGCTGCAATATCACTGGGACTGCTGAGCTGCTGCTGTTGGGATTTACTATCTGCTAACAGAGAGACGGAGCCCTTTAGGAACTGACAGCCTTCTAGTAGCCTTGTTACTGCTTGCAGGCTTGACTGGGACTATTCTCATGTGCACCAACGGTACAACTGGGATCCCAGCGCTAGCTGGCTGAAGACTGACAGCTGCTACACAGAGACCTCCACCTATTGCTTATGTTAAGAGGTACCTCTCAGGGGATGTTGAACCATATCCTAACCATGCTTCCAGAGTGCACTGTAGACTAGTTCTAGTATTATTAATCACATGGCAGTTAATACTTATATGCACTGTTTATTGTTGACTTTGCTGATTCATGAGTTAATCCCAGTCTAGTGGTACAGAACTCTATACTAAGTTACCATAGCATAGTAATTACACTGTCTAGAGGACTGTGTCTGAGCCTATCATCTGTGTGTTCATTTACTGTATGCTCAAACCACTTTTTATTGTAACCCATAACAATACACTGAGTTAATTTACCACTAAACGGTCCACGTTCATAGTATCTATACTTGTGTTCTTGTAGGTGCTTGCAGTAACTTTCATTCAACCAGGTTTGTCAGATGGGCTGCTGGTAGGGTTGCCACCTCATCCCTTTAACACATATTAATTACACAGTGTAATGGGTTTAGCTTGGCAGTGGGTGTGTGTGACCCCCTGGATGGGTGCACAACACAAAAAAATAGGCACAGCACAATAACAGTGGAGGTGAAAAAACAAAAAGGTGCAGTTTATTTACAATATGTACAGAAAATGTCAAACCAAAAAGAATCATCAAATTAAATCCTGGCCAACTTGGCTACTTACTGTACCAACAGCTTTCCCTGGCTACCCACTAGGTACAGCCTGATGCTATACCTAGTTGCTAGTGGTTGGAGGCTAGCCACACAGGCTTTGGTCTCCCTGCACACAGACAAGATGTTTGCTCCCCAGTCAGCTCAGGCACAGATCTGGATCCAGGTTGGAGCAACTCCCTAAGCAAGCGGGGCAGTTTTATACCAGCCTTAATGAGCCCACTACCTTCAGCTGGGCTCATTACCTCAGTGCTGAAGGACTCAGCACTTCCCTCTAGTGGAACAAATCTCCATAAAGTCTGAACCTTGGACAAATGTATCGTCCATCCAGGACGCAACCAGGTGATTTCACCTGCCTACTGTCACAACAGGTTCTGAGGTTAATTAATTGCAGATAAGTTTAGTTACCACCTTAATCAGCCCACACAAGCTGTGTAATTAATATGTGTTCGGTTTTAACTGAGTAGTTGCTAACACTTGTCAAAGTAGTAAAGCTGGTTTCAGGTGTTAAGATTTGTTTACCTTCTGGCGTGAAGAGGATAATACAGTATCTCACAGAAGTGAGTACACCCCTCACATTTTTGTAAATATTTTATTATATGTTTTCATGTGACAACACTGAAGAAATGACACTTTGCTACAATGTAAAGTAGTGAGTGTACAGCTTGTATAACAGTTTAAATTGTCCCCTCAAATAACTCAAAACACAGCCATTAATGTCTAAACTGCTGGCAACAAAAGTGAGTACACCCCTAAGTGAAACTGTCCAAACTGGGCCCAAAGTGTCAATATTTTGTGTGGCCATCATTTTTTTCCAGCACTGCCTTAACCCTCTTGGGTATGGAGTTCACCAGAGCTTTACAGGTTGCCACTGGAGTCCTCTTCCACTCCTCCAAGACGACATCACAGAGCTGGTGGATGTTAGAGACCTTGCACTCCTCCACCTTCCATTTGAGGATGCCCCACAGATGCTCGATAGGGTTTAAGTCTGAAGACATGCTTGGCCAGTCCATCAACTTTACCCTCAGCTTCTTTAGTGAAGCAATGGTCGTCTTGGAGGTGTGTTTGGGGTCGTTATCATGTTGGAATACTGCCCAGTCTCCGAAGGGAGCAGATCATGGTCTGCTTCAGTATGTCACAGTACATGTTGGCATTCACGGTTCCCTCAATGAACTGTAGCTCCCCAGTGCTGGCAGCACTCATGCAGCCCCAGACCATGACACTCCCACCACCATGCTTGACTGTAGGCAAGACACACTTGTCTTTGTACTCCTCACCTGGTTGCCGCCACACACACTTGACACCATCTGAACCAAATAAGTTTATCTTGGTCTCATCAGACCACAGGACATGGTTCCAGTAATCCATGTCCTTAGTCTGTTTGTTGTCAGCAAACTGTTTGTGGGCTTTTTTGTGCACCATCTTTAGAAGGGGCTTCCTTCTGGAATGACAGCCATGCAGACCAATTTGATGCAGTGTACGGCATATGGTCTGAGCACTGACAGGCTGACCCCCCTCCCCTTCAACCTCTGCAGCAATTCTGGCAGCACTCATATGTCTATTTTCCGAAGACAACCTTTGGATATGACGCTGAGCATGTGCACTCAACTTCTTTGGTCGACCTGTTCTGAGTAGAACCCGTTCTGTTAAACCGCTGTATGATCTTGGCCACTGTGCTGCAGCTCAGTTTCAGGGTCTTTGCAATCTTCTTATAGCCTACTCCATCTTTATGTAGAGCAACAATTCTTTTTTTCAGATCCTCAGAAAGTTCTTTGCCATGAGGTGCCATGCTGAACTTCCAGTGACCAGTATGAGAGAGTGAGAGTGATAACACCAAATTTAACACACCTGCCATTAATGAGTCACATGACACCAGGGAGAGAAAATGGATAATTGGGCCCAATTTGGACATTTTCACTTAGGGGTGGACTCACTTTTGTTGCCAGTGGTTTAGACATTAATGGCTGTGTGTTGAGTTATTTTGAGGGGACAGAAAATTTACACTGTTATACAAGCTGTACACTCACTACTTTACATTGTAGCAAAGTGTCATTTCTTCAGTGTTGTCACATGAAAAGATAGAATAAAATATTTACAAAAATGTGAGGGGTGGACTCACTAATGTGTCTCCTCTTCAGGCTCCAGGGACCACGAACTGTAAATGTAATGTAAGACACAGTGCTCAGCAAGGCGTTTTAATGAGTTTATTGGACGTGCCCTGGAGACTTCTCCTCGCTGCTTGATAATGGGCTTTGATGTTTATAGTGCCAGTTAACCTGAGGCCTGAGAAGTTTACAATTTCTGAGTGCCAATATTGTAGTTTCCACTAGAAGCAAACCTGCTGCCTAGGAGAACACAATAATAGGGATTCATCAGAGAAAAATACAACCAGCTGCTATCCAGAACTGGTCCAGATTCTTTCTCTCAGCATTTACCAATTAGGGCCAATTTGATGCTAGCCTCATACATTGATTTTTTTTCTTTTGCTATAAATTGATTTTTTTGTGTCTACCCGGAAGCCCATGTACATTTTTCTCTTAAACCTGAACTCCAAGATAAGCAAATATTGTCTATGTACAAGAATTGTGTGTTCTTACTTGAATTTTTGTGTGCTTTGTGTATTTCTTTCAGATTTGTGTAATATTCCAGTGTGAAACTTTACCTTTGTGCTGGAGCTTCCGGTAATGAAGACCAGTTACTGTTGCTTTCTCTCCTTGAAGGGTGACTGGTCTTGTCTTTGGCTTGTTTCTCAACTACTCTTCTGCTAAATCCCAAGGTGTGACCACTTGTTACCTACCTTTGGCTTGTTTACTGACTACACTTCTGCTTGATACCTACCTGCTATATATCTGCTACTGGACCTTGGCTTGCTCACCTCTTAGTGGCTGACAAGCAGCAAAGCTAATCTCCACCATCAGGAGCTCTGGTGAATGCTGGTTAGCAGGGGCGGACTGACCATTTGGAAACTCGGGCACTGCCCGAGGGCCCGGGGTCAGTAGGGGGCCCCATGAGATGCCCCTGGTACCTTTTTCATAGGCTTTTTCGAGTTTGGGCAAGGACACAGTGGCCCCATGATCCCCTATTGCCCGGGCGCCCCATGAGTTGTCAGTTTGTCCCTGCTGGTTAGTCTTCAGACTCCGCACATCATCTGGCAGGGTGACCTGCTCCTGCATGTATCCAGCTGGTCAGTGGGAGCCTCTCTAATGCTATAGCTACTTGCCTCCGAGCCTGACTATGACAGAAGGTTTTTACCACACATGTGCGAAGGCGCCACAATTATTGAGGTCCTGGATATCAATATGTCTTTGCATGCCCAGGGAAACTCTACACATGCACAGATGTGCCAAAGGTCTCTGCCATGTTCCGAAGACTGGGAAGAACCCTTCAGCACATCTGCACATGTGCCAGATTTTCATAGATGCCAGTGTCGGTGGTGGGATGGGACCAGCAGTACAGAGGCTAAAGTTACTCTTCAAGCTTTAATTTATAGTTGAAAAATCAAGTAAAAATAAAGATCCCTTTGATAATACTTTGTATTTGCAAGTCACCCATTCTGGTCCTTTACACCCAGAAGGTTTGCCTACTATTGTACTCATAGGTTTTAGTTGTACTAATGCAGAATGGATAAACTCTCCCACTGTGTCTCTGTGTGTAAATGGACATGTAGAGCATCAGACCAGGAGTGAGCCTGCTTGGGCGCCCCCATAGTAAGCTGCTTGCTATGGGGGCACTAAGCAGAAGGGAGGGGCCAGGAGCACCAGCGAGTGACTCGAGAAGAGGGAGATCGGGGCTGTTTTGTGCAAACCACTGCACAGGGCAGGTAAGTATAATATGTTTGTTATTTTAAAAAAAAATACCTTTGCTATCAATTTAAAAGAAAACAAACTGTAAAACTTTGCATTCCTTATGTTCTGATTCTCCTGGAATATTTTTCTGATTTAAAGTCCAGTTGGACTAGAGCCAGCCAGTTGAGTATATGTGTTAAAGGGCAGGTGGCAAAAGACAGCTGGCCTAATGGACGGCAATTGTAAGTAAAGCTCAGTTTGGAATGTAATGTGTGTGGTCAACCTAAAGAAATTCTATGGTGAGAACCTATGGAGGATTTAATCTTTGATCTCTCTATCAAATGCTAATTATATGCCTGTCATGATAATCCAGTGGCTTCAGTACTTTCCAATGTACAGGATGCAGATCCGGAGTCTTCTCTCTGACTCTCTGCATGCTTGTTCCTGGTCAGTGTCCAAGTCAAAGACAGCCATGCAAGTAAATTGGTGCTTTCAGGAAGAATTTCAAAACTTAGTTTTAAAATGATGGCTAAGGAATAAGGTACCGTATGCTTCCTGGTGTGATTTTCAGGTAATAGGTGGTAAAAGGGTTGTGAGCCCTTTGACCCACCATGCCCAGTTGCAGGCCTGAGCTCTTTTAATTCCTATTCTCACAATTCTGTGCATTCCCACAAATCCCTGGGTCCTGGACACATCCATGGAATATAAGTTTCACTGTTTCCTGCTCTCAGATGTTTATCACACTTGATGAGCTATCCAGGTGTATGGTCCTCCACTGTTAGTCGTGACAGTAGCTGGCCAGGAACCCAAAAGTATGTGGCTTCTATGGAAGCCAGTGCAGAAAACATTGCATAAATTACTACCATGGTACTGCTCTTGGGAGGTGGCTCAGCCACCCACTTGTGGTACCAGCCCTAGAAATCCTCCAGCTGTGGCCCAAGGCCAAAGATCCCTCCAGCTGTTCACCTGTTGACCAAGACCTACCTTGTATTTCACTGTGAGAGACGCTGTGGCAGAGGCTAAGCACAACCTTGATCACCTGACCTCCCCAAATGCTTATACTTTCTCCCAGCATGCTCAGCGGCCACAGGAAACTCCTACTGATCAGCTGAGAGAAGTATGAACTATCATAACTCACTTTCACTGCAGCTCATCATACTAATGCCAAAGGTATCAGTGACACCTACTGGCAAAAGGGATGTACTACAGCTACACTGAGCTTAGGAGAAACCCCAAAAGATCACAGACTACAAATCGACCAGGTTAACTACAACCTAGCACAGCTACATTTACTGATAGCCCCTGTTTAAGACAAGGGTGCTACATAGAGAGTGTGCTGTACTGCCACTTAATCCTTATTGAGTCATAGAAATCTTGCTCATATGAGCTCCTGTTTATACAGCTTCATAATTGGTTTACCATTGTTCTGTACAGTACGCACATCCTATTACCATTTTGATGATGTTTGCATTGCTCATTCTGATTTGTAACTAGTTAAGTTATATTTACCATTTGATTATTTGGCTAATCCCTCTACCTGTTAAGCCGGCCATACACTGATCAAAATTTGGTTGGTTCAGCAAGGACGGGACAAATTTCCATCTATGTATTTGCAGGCTGATTGTACCCAAGTCGATACATCGATTGACTTGGATACAACCAGCCTATCAGATTTTTTTCCATGCGAATAAAAGCAGTAATAATTGTGTTCTTTTGCCTGGAAGGCTCCCCGTACCCCAACACCGGCAGAACACAATAGTGCTGCACCATCTGACTGTGTTGACGGAGGAATTGCACGATTTTTCTTTCCTTCCACCTGTGGTGGAAGAAAGGAAAGTCAAATAATCTATGGACTACCTTATAGTGCCCCCTTTTTCACTGTTTATACAAACCTTCCATCTGCACCTGTCAAACACTGTGCTCCGTTCTTGTTTGTCATCAGGTAATAACACAGTGTCTATAATATTGTAGCACTACCTTCTTAGGAGTCGCCGAGTTTTGGGCCCCGCACAGCCAGGCAACACACATTTTCTTCCACACCTGCACACTGGAGTCAGTAAACAGCCTTGAGCTTGGTTTTGATGTTATATTAAGGAGTTCTGAACTTGGATGGGGTTGAGGGGTATATGGGATGCCCAAGGAAACTGCAAACTTGAGGAAAACTCCTTAGCAACTACTATATATGCAGATATGAACAGAATAGTCTCTCCTCTGAGAGCACTCCAGCTCTCTGGTGTACCTCCTCAGACCTCAGATAAATCCTCATCTTCACCCAGCTGTCTAAGGGTATTCCCTGGGCAATAGGGCCCAGAAACGGTCAAATTAAAACACAGTTCCAGATAAGGAGCTAGTTGGGCTGTCCACCTGACTGCACTCTCCCCCTCTCTGGCCCAGGGGGTGTACGGTTACTCACACTATCCTTCCTCATAGCTCAGCTGGTTGGTGGCTGCCTTCAGGCCTTTTGCTGGACTGGCTTCCTCTCTGCTGATCAGGTTGTCTTTCCTGTAAGAAAGTGCAGTGGACTCCCTTGTCCAGCACCAGCCTGTAGATAGGCCCTTCCATGCCCCATGCCCTCTCCCAGGCTCCACACTCCAGCCCTTACTTCATCTTCCACCCGACAATACTATCCCTGTTGATCAGGTTCTCTCTCATACTTAAGGGCTGTCCTGTCAAGGTTCTACCTTTCCCCAGAGGTTATGCTGCTCCATGTGCTGGCATCCATCTTAGGTTTCTGCAAAGCATGGTGGGAGCCTTTTATGCTTTCAGGCCTCTGCGGTCCATCCCCCAGAGGGGTGTGGTTGATCACATTTAAGCCTGTTGTCTGCACTTGCTCTTTGCATTCGTGTCCTGTATGATTGTGTTGCAGCAAGCTCTTGTTCTACTCTCGTGGCTCTCCTGGAGACTGACTCGGCTTTGACTAAGACTATTCTCAGCCTTATCCTTTTATCTGACCTCCCATTGTTGAACCCGGCTCATGACCTGTGTATTCTTGCCTACCATTCTGTACTTTCTGTCCAGGTGTTATCTACCTGGCCTGTCCTACTACTCTATCGTTTCCTATCTGGTGGCCATTACTGCAGCTGGGGTTACTCGGGGGCCGCGACCTGGTCCCTGGCTGCGTCAAGTCCATCCCCACCATCAGGGGCCCTGGTGAAAGGCAGCAGGGGCTTAGACCCCGCCCCCTGAGGGACTCTGGTCTGTGGGTGGTGGTTGTCGTCAGTCGGTGCGTGACCCTACCATTAGGCCTGCCTGTCCATTCCACCGCTCCTGCCCTGACATGTCCTGGCCCCATGCCAAGTCTGCTGCTTGGGGATTAGTCGAGATCCCTTTTTGGGGATTAGCAGATCAGCCCCTCCTCAACCCCCACTGACTTTTAGAAACTTCTCCAGCTCCTAGAGAAGGGGGAGGCATCAAGGAACTGACCTGCACAACCCTCAGCCCTGACCTAAAATAACCTGGCTGACTCACACCCAGGCTACTATTCACCCTCTGCCTCAAAAAAACTAACTAGCTCCCCCTAGCTAAACTTCAGGGGTGCTACGATATGTCATCACAGAAAGATTCAGGGGAGGCTGCAGAAGACACTGCATTCTAAAGAGGGAAGCAGAGACACACTCTAGGCTTAGATGACATGCCACCTGTTTATTCTGTGTCTCTCCTTGACGCCTATCAGTAAAAATAATGCTTTGGGAAAAACTTGTAAAAATAATTTTCTATTTATGTCATTGCACCTCCATTCTCCATGTCCAGTCCTGGCATTATACTGACACTCCCAAATGTATAATTCTGTATTCATCATGTTACAACCCCTTCAAAGAGTTTACACGGCACGGAGCAACAAATCACATTCTACAAATGGCACCAAATTAAATGCGGCGATGACGAGTATATAATTGTTGCAGTTTAATGACAAATACTCTGTTGTTCTGTGCTTTCATTTGGCTGGCCACTTTCCTCCAGCACGGTCTCCATAGCAACAACAAAGCCTCACAGCTAAAATAGCAACGTGGCAGTTGGCATTGTACAGATGATGAAAGGATGATGAAACACAATTATAGGTGCTAAGGACGTGAATAATTATGGCAGATTATTTCTGCCAAGACTGCATTGAAATCTCCCACACAGAAGGTGAACAGGTGGTGCTACGTATGAGCGAGAAATCATTGGCGGCGCAGTAAAACCAAGGGAGTGAAAGACTGACACTGTAAGTGTTGTAGTACATCACTAGATGGCGCAACCATCCTACATCCTGGCTTTCAGCTATAGGATTCAGTTCCCTAGGAGGTTTGTACTAAAGTTTGAGAGAAATTAAAGTAGGACTTTTTTTTCCCAGTTTT